CTGGTCCAAGGTGTTATCAACAGTGCACTTCATCACAGGCAGAAACTCCGAGTTCATGAAGAGCCCCCGGTTTGGGTTTCTCCTCAGTCTCTCCTGGTGGCTCCTGGAGCTGAAAAATTCTAAGACCAGCTTTAGCTGCCACAGCTCGAAGGTCTCGGACATTTCTTTTCTCTCCAGCCTCCTCACAGCCTATCAGGAGAGAACACACAGACGGGAACTCCATGGATCCGGGAGAAGAAACGTCCCCCCTCAACGGCCAAACAAGTGAACTTCCCTCCCTCCGCATGCGAATGGGGAAACCCGGCAGCCTCTTCGCTCCGTTGAGGCATTTTTCATTGGTTACCCTGAAACCTCGGCCCTGTGGGCGCAGGCCTCCCGACAGAGCTCTGTGCTGGGAGCCAGCGAGGCAGGCACGGGGCAGAGCCAGCCAGGGCGTTCCCAGACCGGCGTCCATCACTCTACCTGGTCTATGGCTATGTACGCGGGCAGCATCTCTGGGTTCTCCCGCGTGACGCACTCGTACAGAATGGAGGAGAAGAGATCCAAGAGGCCCTGCTTCTGGCAAGAGAGACGCCTGTCACACAGAGCACACGCGGGCCCTCCGTGCTGAGTCGCGACAGCAATGCCAAGCGGGGCCTGGGCTCCTGGCTGCCGAAGCACCACGCACCACGCTCTGGGTGACTTTCAGGGCTGGTCAGGAGCTGAGGGGGCCAGCGTGGCTCCGCCCCTTCCACCTGAAGCCCTGCCCCTTCTGCCTGAGGCTCCGCCCCTTCTGGGAGCACAGACACCCCGCCACTCAGAGGCCCATCAAGTCAGTTGGCCCCCCTGGAGAAGACACAATCTTCATTCACCAGACTACTTCCCGTACAGCGGCTCTCCGAAATAACGGCGGCAGCCAACTCTCAGCGTTCATTAGCTACAAGCCACGGGGAATCCAGGGAGTATAATCGCGGGGCTAACTAGTGGAAAGGGATATCCTGCCCCGCTCTGGCAGCGCACATGCCAGAGTTCTCTCTTCTGCTTCGATATTTGTGCCTTCTGCTTCCCACAATGCCTGTGCGCTCACCCTAGCAAATGCCTGCACGGAACGAGGCTTTTCCAAACAACTGTTCTTGGTAAGTGAATTAGGCCCGTTGTCTGCAACTCAACATTCATTTCCTGCCTTTTAGTTGTGAAAACAAGAAAAGAAACCGTTCCTCTGAGCGGAGTCCCCCCGTCGGCACTGTGTACCTGGCCCAGGGTCACAGCTGGCTTGCAGAAGTAGTCAGCAAACGAAAGTAGTGCCGGATCAGAAGTGAAAGCAGAAATCGTTTCTGGCTAGAAAGAGGTAAAAATGCTCACGTTAGACGAGGAATCTTTGGCTTTCACTCTGGAGGCCAAACAGCCCATCCCCTCCTCCCCTTCCCTCCTGTGATTTTTCAGAGCTCAGTTCAGGTCACCCTAATCTACACGATGGAGTTAAAGGGGGAAATCGAGTCTCAGAACCTTTTCATCTGCCTGCTGCAAAAAGCAAAGCGGCGGACGTGCTTCGAAAGCGAAGCGGCAGCGATGGGGTTTGAGGCTCTGAAGGCAGCCGGGCCCAGCGCCCTAAGGCAACGACCGAATGCCACTTTCAGAGCGACTGCAGCACCCCTGAAAAGCACCAGCCTGGCAGCACTGGGCCTGGCAAATTATCGGAGTTTCTCAGCCTGGCTCCACTGTGCCTCGCTCCAGCCCTGCTCCATAAAGGCCGCTCCTAGAGGTGACCTCTCCCCTCCGCCGTGCCGGGTCACCTTCGGGTTCCCACGACGGCAGTTTGGTGGCACGGGAACAGGACTGAAACCACCGATTCCTTTCACACCAGCCAAGCAGCTGTCAGACAGCAACAGCTTTTCCCCCCCCCCCCCGTATCTGAACCCCGGCTCAGTAGCTCGACTGCTCGCTCCCACGCGCCAGGTTCCAGCACAGCTCGGGGAGGCCTCTGCTCTGTGCGCGCTCGCAGGACGCTACCTTGAAGGACCGAGTTTCGGCGTTCTGGTGCGTGACAGTCTGGGCTAGCAAACTGCGCCAGCCCATCGGGTCCTCTTTGTACGAGAGCTGCCCCGCCCGCAGCTTGACGTACAGGATGCCGTCCTTGGACAGGATCGACCTGGAAAACAGCAGCCCTTGCCGAGTACTGAACTCGGTCACCTCGCGCCAGGGCGCGGTGGTACTGACACGTGGCACCGCCAAGGCGCATCGAATGAACCAGCAACCCGGAGGTGCTCAGTCCCCTGCGGCCAGGGATTTGCTTCCTCATTACCTAGCCCCAATATGGGGCTGTGCGCGGGGAGATCTCGATTTCCCCGACATCCGCCCCAGGAGCGCGCTCTGGCGGGGGTGGGGAAGAGGATGGAGGTTTTCCAGCATTACCGGGCTGTACATATTATCAATTCCCTCTGACGTCCATGGAGCCGCCCACTCCACCCTTCCCGGGACGGCTCAGCCCCCACGACGGCTCCACGGGGCTCCAATCACCGGGCGCCAAGGGGCAGCTTCGTGCCATTTCGCTAGGGAACGCGCTCTCTCCTCGGCAGCAGGAGCTGGCAAGGCCGCAGCCTCGGCTCCGGAACAGCCCTGCCAGCGAGGGGGAGCCGCACACGCCGGACTAGAGCGCGGGCTCCGCTCCCGCAACGCCGCCGGGTCTGTCAGAGACGTCATTTCAAAGGGCGCCCGGCCCCGTGGCTCTGGGAACCCTTCCCCAGAGCCGTACAGGACCCCACAGCAGCGCCACCACAGAGCAGTCCCCTACAGCACTGAGACAGGAACCACTGCCCCTCCTGCAGGTCGCCTCCCTCACAGTTCTCCCCCGTTATACAGCAGCTGACAGGGGGAGGGGGCCATGCCCTGCTGGCCATCGGCTTTGGGCCCCTTTGGACCCAAGGGGGCTGCCAACGTCAAAGCTGGGGGCCACCAGAGAGCCACCACCCCCCCACGTCACCTGTGGCACGGGAAAGGGAGAGTCTCTCAGGCCCACAGGTCCAAAGCCGCTGGGGGAGAGAGGCCACGCTCAGTGCCTTTGGCTCCACTCACAGGGAGAGGGCCTGGGCTGCCGCAGCTCGCTCCTCTGGGTGGTGTCATTCACACCAACTGAACTAGCCACGTTACTAATGCGACGGCCGGGTGGCTCCTTGTCCCACAACCTGGCCTGCGCATTCCCTCAGACGTTAGAATCCCAGGCGCGTGACTACGCTATTCAGATACCATGACTGGCCCTTGCCATTGTCCGATGGATGGAGGGAAATGTTCATCTGCATTAATTAGCATATGCCCACTTCAGAAAACCAATCCTGCTGGTGCCGGAGCAGCAGCGAGCGTTTTCCACGGAGAGAGGCATTGTGAAACCTCACCAATCCCACACAAAACCCCCACACTCCACAAATGAAAAGCAGTTTCTAGTTGAGGCCCTCTGCCCGTTTTCCCTTCTCTTGGTTTGGTTTTTGACGCAAGACCCACAAAACAAGTGAAACTGCCTATCCAGAGGAGGAGTGAAACTGACTTCACGCACAGGGCTGACAAACACGCGAAAGCAGATGAATGGAAACTGAAGACTTTCTCTTCAGTCCGCCAGTGACTGGCGGTTGTTGTTCCGTCCAACGAGCGGAGACGAAAACAAACAGTCACACGTTTACTGAACCGGGAAGGGTCGTGAGTCAGTTTGGGGGTCGATCCACCAAGCCTCGCGGACACTTACTTCAGCTGCTGTGTCCCCTTGCTTAAATCTATGAGCAGCTCCCAGTAGCGTGGGCCTTTCACTCTGATCTGCCAAGAGAAATGTTGAAGTGACCGCTGCAGAGCAAGTGAGAGCGCTATCCAGCCGCCGGAGTTCCTGCGGCTGAGCAGGGCAGCCCTCCCGCCCGGCCCTCTCTGCCTCATGCCATGGAGGCTCCCAGGGGATAGAAACTGTTGGAATCCCCTGCACTGCACGCCCCTGGCAGGAGGAGCCTCAATGGCTGTGGAAGCGACACGCACTGGAGGCGGAATCGGGGCGGGACATGAAGGGGCAGAGCTAAGGCCTCCTCTATATTACCCCCACCCGTCGATGTAACCTGCGCGACTTCAGCTGAGCTAGTCGCGTAGCTGAGGTCGATGCACTTACCGTTGTGTCCTCTATGGTGATAAGGTCGGAGGGGCTGCTCTCCCGTCAACTCCAGCTACTCCTCCTCCTGCTGGAGTACGAGAGTCGACGGGAGAGCGCTCGGAGATCAATTTATCGGGTCTAAACAGACACGATCAATCGACCGCCAGTGGATCGATCGCTGCAGGGTGGCGCCGCGATCTAAGTGAAGAGGAGCCCTAGATGTACCGCACTATGGCTCTCCCACAGGCAGGAAATGGCCTGCAGACGACGCTGACTGGAGCTAACCGCACTGACTGGAGCTACCCGCAGGCTGCTCAGACGTGCCCTGGGGCCAGTCAAGGAACCAGAGCAGTAAGCAGGTAGCCAACAGCCACCCCCCTTTCTGCTCAATGAGCGGGGCTGCCCCGCCCCACAGAACCCAGGCCGCCACATTCCGCACCCAGCTGGAGCCCCGACTTACCTGCTTCAGCAAGTGAAGCTCCGGGAGGAGGGTTGGGGCCATCAGTTCCTCGGTGGTCTCCTCATACCACTGCGTGCCCTGTAAGCACCAACAACCCGCCGGTAGTCAGAACGGTCCCAGGGCACAGAGACGCCTCGGCCTCTGCCGGTCTGTGCTTCCCATGGCCGTTTCCCTGGTGGAACGGGGGCCCGAGTCACCGTTTACGTCACCAAGCGAGAGAGACAAGGCAGGCGAGGGAACATCTTTTACTGGACCAACTGCTGTTGGCGACAGACAAGCTTTCGAGCTCCACCGAGCCCCTCTCCCGCTCGGTCACCAAACGCAGCCGGCAAAACGAAGGGGGGCACCACGGCTGGTCCCCAGGCAGGGGACACCCACGTCTTAAAAACCAGCGACACTGCCTTCCACGGCAAGACGGGTCAGCTCACCAGGCGCCCTGCCCTCCTCTCCTCAAGGCTGGCAAGGCCCTGCCCTCGCCCCCC